GACTGAAATGGCTCCTAAATGTATGAAAATTTTATAAAACACTTCGGGAAGTCCGAGTCAGGCGATTTAATAATTTGTCCTTGTAGGCAAAGGTAATATGGATTGAATAACCTGAAGAGGCAGAAGAGAGCCTGAACAGGATTAGGTTCGCGGTTCCAGTCGCGGAGCTTCGCTTCTCCCTATGATTGTATCGAGACTCTATTCAGGAAAGAAGGGGGGGGGGAGGCTAAAAGACGCAGCCATTTTTCTCGACACGATTTCCACCCTGCGTAACAGTGCGTTCTGAGGCACAGCATACATGGTACGCGGCAGGAGCAACACGCCTGGTGCTGAATCACCTTTCTGAATTCACCTCAGTTGTCGGCGAGAGGGAAACATTGTTAAATATAAGGCGCGTCCTCTTTGGATAATGAAACCTATAGGATAAGAAATGCTGTTCACAATGTCAGCATTTTATTAATTGTGATGTAACTGTTTCTTCAACCATGGTGCCCAGAAAAATGTGATTGTCATGCCAATGCAATTTTCACGCTCACACATGCGGAGCAAGATATTAGCTCAAGTTTTTTTTTGAAGTGCTCCTAATTAAGCCGTATGAATGACGTCGAAGAAGTCGGAGGCTCATGCTGTAGTTAGCTGTTGCAGCGGCGAAACTGATATCATAACAAGGGGCCATTGTGAGGAAGTTGTTTTCTCTGAGGAACAATAAGGTTCTATTTCCTAATGAATGTATGTGTGAAGCCGTCCGTAAAAATCCATGCAGATACCTTGGGCAATCTCGCCTTTGCCATCTTTCTTCATTCTCCTCTCAGAGCTCGCTTAAAATTTGTGAAAAGATGCTCAAATTTATACCCTCAATTCATTTATCGACTCCTGTCGAGATCCTTTTTTTAAGCTCAGCATTCCTTGTGCGCTACAAAGTCATGTGACACCCTTAAAATTGTGAATGTGTACTTCACCATCCACAAGAGCTCATTCAGTCAGAACGACGTCTAGAAAAAACCTACGCTCGCAGGGTTACAGCTCATTTGAGCCGCTATCATGTTTTATATGATTGTTATAGTTGCAGGGCCGCTGCAAAAATAAGGACATCTCTCTCTAAAGACCAAAAAATGCAAATTTATTTGGTTCAGAGGAACCTCTTCGCGAAATGACACTACCCAAACAAGGAGAAATGGTGCCGTACATTTTTATACAAACACATCTGAGGGCAGGCTTCGGCATTAGGGTCCCCGATGGGAGACACGCCGCGGGTGAACACTTCAGTTCCGTACCTAGAGAGTTCGCTCCGGCTTCGTTCGCACAAAATGCGCATTCAGGGCTCTAGTCGTTACGGAGTTGCAACCATGGGCTCAAATGCAACCCTCCTCACCCACCACGATTGATGTCGAGTTCAGTGTACTCTCATACGGTTGCTCTTTCGCGTGTTTTGTTACCCTGATCGCTCTGTCTCTCCGCCGTAGCACATCCGACCTCGCTGAAGGTTTGCTTTTTTAATGGTTTCTCTTGCTTTCTTCTCCACTTTCAGTGCAATCCATAGCCCAACTATCACTGTGAAGTGCTCCTATATATCCGTTTCACCCTGGGGCTTTCATCTAATACAAGTTGATGCCCATCAGTGGGGAACCTGTTTCTCCAACTTTGAAATTTTGTTGATATTCTGTGTATTTGGCAGCCACTGCTGACTTACCAAGGTTTTACAAGTAAGTTTCGACAAATTTCACACTCGGTCATCCTACTGAACTCACTTCGTTTGCTTGTAACCACTTCCATGAAAGCCTCACAGCAAGGTGTCCTTCTTGTCAAAAGGTGGTCTTCCACGAGGAATCCATAGGAGAAAGGTAGCAAATGGGCTTCTGTAGGTTTCTTGGGTCTGCTATAGTCATTGCAATGGGAAGAAACGACAGGTCAGGGATAGGGTGCGCAGCGCCATATCTTTAGCGAATCACCACGAAAATTTCGACGAGTGGATCACATCGGAACCTTATCTATGTTCTACTCTAGCGAACAGCGTCATCAAGCATATAATTGAAGCTCAACTTTACTTCCACCCTTTTCTAACAAAAGAAAAGCAGATTGAAGGGCGATAAAATGCTTATTAGGATGAAAACCTGCTCACTGAAGCCTCGCTTGACCCACTCTTTCATTGAATTTCTCTTTTCTGGTTTTAGTCAAAACGGTTAACGATGGTAAAAAATACATTGTACGGATCTATTTCAGTTGACCATATCAATGAGTTTTCGAGACTTCAGGCTCAATCGCTTTCTGTCCCAGAGCTGACTCAGGCTGAGCAGCGGTGAGTTCGAGGCGACTTTATTCGACGCATCCTTCGAGGTTACAGCGCTATCATTTCGTGATGTTTTTCGTTAATTATCCTGGTGCCCTCTTGCTTCTATCCTTAGCAAGAATATTGGAATACCTTGCTACGGTTTTCCTCAAATGTTTGAGAAACTTGTTAAATGTAGCGCAATCAGGCGCATTCAGAAACAACGCCTACCTTTCTCCAGCAGAGGGAGGACAAGAAATTCAAACTATAAGTCCAGTAGAGCTGCCGTACGCCGAGTACGAGCAGCTACCATTGCTAGTTGGAGCAGGAAATTGCACTAAGGAGGATTGGTAGAGCTGTCCTCCGTTTTTGCAGCGGTCCCAAAACTAAAAATGGTTCGTAAGCACCAAAATTAGCGCGAGCCGGCTCAACACTTATGTTGGAAGTTTAGGTAATTTCTGGACGTGCTTCTTGTAGCATAAGTTGCAACCAGAGATTAGAGATGGTAAAGCATTCACAATTTTTGGGCGCACTATGATTTTGCGGCGCACAGCATTTCGTCCCTTTTCTTCTCAAGATTTAAGCGATTTACGCAGATAAGTATAAGCGGAACGGTCTAGATTCCCGTCACCAAGCATAAGAGAGTACCATTGAAGGTCCGAAAATCCTATCGTCATTTCGCTTTTGAAATGTAATTTTAATTACGATGGAGCTCTTCCAATTAAAAGCAAGTTCCAAGCCCAGACTTCCCGTATCAGGATCGAGCAACGATGCACTTTGAGAAAGGCTCTTATTGTGTTTTAAATTAGCGTTTCGCTCTCTATGAACTCTCCAGCTTTTTATTGTATTTTAAATTGGCGTTTCGCTCTCTATGAACGTTCCGCTATCTCCACGTATGTATTTGCTGAAGGGCTTCCTGTTGCGGATGGAGGGAGAAACTTCGGGCGCAGCGATCGACGCAGAAAATCCCAAAATTCTTTGTTTCTAGTGGCTTTCTAAGTTGTTTACAAAGATGAACTTAGGGAGAAATAGCGTTTCTACATGGCAATTGCTCTGAAGCACAATGCAGTCTATGAAAGCATGACCGGTGCCCACCCACTTCTTCAATCCACGATGGCGAGAAGCGATCAACATCAAGACGAACTCAAGTGTTGTATAATATAGAGGTGCTGCTTAGCATATTTCCCATCAACCAGGCCGTGGCTCTTCGGCAGATATTTGCCACGCTTATGAAAATTTATTTTCCAGTGGCACGTTCCATATGCAGCTCATTAGTGGATTCTTGGAAGCAGTCCCATATTTAATGTTGGCCGCGTTATCCTCAGAATCTCGTGAAAAAAATCCCGTAATATTCAAGTACACACAACTTTTTATCGTGGTGCGTTTCCTACACCATGAGAGCTGCAGAAGAGGCCTTGTTAACTCGAATGGATCCACCATCTGGGTGCTTTATGTGCTTCCTTTCTCTTTCTTCCTTATTTTTGAAATAATTTGTATTTGTTCTAATAAAAGTAGTACTAGTTTTTTGAAGACAAGTGAACTATTTGCTTTGCAGAATCTCATGCTAGAACTCAGCATGTCTTATTAATTTTTACCGTTGACAACTGAACTCCTTTCTCGTTTTTGTGTATTTACTTTCCATTGAAGCTCTTGATTAGCTCAGTTGTGCAGGAATCTTGATGAGGAGGACACGAGAGAAGAGGGAGTAGAGAGCGATCAAGTATGTTTGAACTGGGTGAGCTCTCATCGCCAAGATTCATTGAGGCCCTAGGGCGATACTCACACTTCTTCACACATCGTTCCACATTGTACCACGTAGTACATCATCTTGACTATTGGAAATGTATTTCCAGACAATAGTTCTCGACGTTGATCCGGTCGGATATTTGTGGCTTGATGTTTTTGAATAGTTATAAGCAGTGGATGCCAAGATGCTCACTTTTTTCAAAAATTCTTAAGATTGGAACTTGGCATGTTCCGCTCTTCCTGAATTTTTTTTTCAAAGAATCAAACAATTATCACATTTCTTTGGTCCTCACGAAAGAAAATCTCTAATCTGCGATCTGAATAGCCTTACCTGAAAAGTCAATACTTTTGCAATGAGTAACCTTTTTACCTCTCTATCTGCTTTTCTAATCTTTACCCGAGCTACACTCATAATTATCGATGACGAAAAGCGCTAAGTTGTGAGGACATTAAATGCACATTCTTTCTTAACATCTTGAAATAAGTCAAACTATGGAACAGATGCATCGATGCTAGAAATGGTTGCATATGTTACTGTTGAAGCAGACCGAGCTCAGGAAAAAATTTTGGGCTGGCAGCCTTTCCTGTCTGCGTCTCTCCTGTCCCAATCTTCTCTTCTTGTTGTCATAGTCGCTCCTTCTGAAATACACGTTCACCGCACTCCCATATTCAAAGGTCGACTACAAAGGAGAAGTCCTTACAGGCTTTCCATTCTCATTTAGCAATATCCTCTTGTCGTGAAACACGCTTTTAGTTTCATACATTTTTAATCTTGAGATTGCTCTAATGCCTTACATCAATGGTACTTCCTATTCAACTGCGGTATCACCCTAAGGTACCATCAGATGTCTATCTTCTGTATGTGTCTTACTCTCGGATATACATTGTGTTGTGCCGAGCAATAATCTTATACATAGACTCCACGCGCATTGTTTAATTCGCGCAATAAGGACCTTTATCATTTTTTCATGTGATTTCCAGAGCGGTTATGTTAACTACGTGTAAGGACGACGAGTACAAATGTGCTTGCCTGGCAATCGAATGTCCTCGAGTATTCAACTATTCGATCGCACTCAAAGAAGAATGCTGGATGAAGGAATGCTTCATTAGTAAACGTGCGCTTGATCAAGAGACTTTGTTACAGGTATACCGTAACAGCTTTGTTGTACATTCTTACATCAGGTCGCCAAATAATATCGTGCGCTTTCCACTTTACCTTAAATTTCACGGTGCGTCGATAATGAGGGGAGCCTCCTGCTTTTTACATGAAAAAGGCCGCAATGAATTGCCTGTGAATCACCTGTGAAGAAGAGTTGGTCTAACACGCTCCATCCCTCTACTCTTGAACCCCTACAACCACTAGTATGCTCTCAGTTACCTTCCCATGATCGATGGTGTCGATTGTACATGAATTCTGGCAGTGCTACCAATTGACCTGTTCCCACTACTTCCCTCCAACGCCGTTTTCAATTTTTGGATATACCCGTTTTGCGCGACTATACAGCCCCCTCCCCTCTCCCGCAATTCAAATCCTGCCAAGGAATGCGCAACAGTACCTCACACTAGCCGAAGATCCAGTGTAGCTCAAGTGGCTAGAATTAGCAAAGGCGCATGCGGAAAAGTCTTTATATAAGGAGCGCTTGGAGTAGGTGCCCTCATTGTCAGGCTGGCGAGATTTTGTTCAGGTGGTTTGTTTGATTGGATGAGGAGAAGATCACGCCCTTTTGCCGTACAAAGCGCTCTAGGATTTGGGGGAAAGTTGTGGCAGCCACGAAACGTGGTTCAAGGGGATCCAAAAGGAGTCCCATCAGAATGGTTCAGAGTTGAGTTGGGGATTCTTCTTCATCCTCCTTGATTCACATAAGGAGTACCCATCAAATGCAACATTTTCCTGCTAATGTCTAACGCGCTTCGTAGTGTCCTCTCTTCAATAACTATGAACTATTGAGAATTGACGCAATGCCCTAGTTCGTGGTCTATCTCGACAATTTCTGACAAAGAGAATTTCTTCCACGCAGCTGCGCATGAAGTACATAAATATTTGTTGTGTAACGCTCAACGGCGAAAATGGCGCTTCAGTGAAAAGAAAAACAATCACACTATTGGTCCATTAGCCCGGTATCAAGGAAAGCTGGCTACATAGGTCGACACGGATGAACCGAGAATGTCTGCGGAGCATGGACGGTAGTGGCTGGGACTGGACCGTGCGGGCGTCCTTCCAGAACCACGCGTGAAATCCCCAACTATCCCTCCATTTGGGAGTGTCACAAAAGTTTTGAGAAAATTCAGTCGGTTTGTTTAACACACATTTACTACAGTAAAAGCGTGAGATCAAAAATTAAGATAGTGGCCCTCTTTACCAACGAGGTCCTTTCATCGAATAGCAGCGTATTAATGCCCTTCCTACAGAGGGAAGAGAGGTGTGACGCGACCCATTCACCTACGCATGCTTGGTCCCCTGAAGATGTTGAATTTTTTTCCCTTTGGCATGGGACTTCAGGCTTCTGAAAGCATGGTGGTCGCAAGGGCTAAGGTCAGATGAATTCGACGGGTGGGGTAGCCAGGGAATACCAAGTCCTTCCAGCTCCTCCGTCGTGGTCCTCGCGTGGTGTGGTCGAGCATTGTTAATCACAAAGAGAAACTTCCCTTGTAGTTGGTGCGAAATGGAGGCTCGGAACACCACCTCTCGTAGTTGTTCACAGATGCAGTCATCGGTACAGTCGGGTAGGATCACACAATATACGCAGCCAGTGGAGCAGAAGAGAAATGAATCACCTCCTTCTTGGCATGGGCGCTTGGCGTCGGAACGGGTTGGGGCTTTGCGTCGACTGGTAGCTATTGCAGTTTTCTGTGTAGGTTTTCATACAACATCCACTTTTCGTCCTGAGCGATAATGAAGTCCGTCCATGTCGTCGTTCGCGTACGATCTAGAAGTTTCTGGCACACATCGACTTGCACTCGACGCCCGTGAACAGTTAGGAGATGGGGATAACTTCAGGGAGCGCAGCATGAACGCGACATCCGCGCAGAATCCCGTGAATGATGGAGCAGGGAGTAGAAGTCGTGCTTTCTTCTTTTTTCAACATTTGAGAAGGATTGCTCCGTGCGGAGGCCGGAATAGTATCGGTATTGCGGAAACGTGGACGTCCACTGTGAGGGTATAGTCGAGGCAAATCTTCTTTATATGGAGGCCTTGGAGGTCGCACCGTTGCCCACCGTGGTCTGTTGAGGGGTTGAGCGGAAAAACGTTCGAAACTGTAACCGTGAAACAGAAGGAATCAGTAATTGTGTTGGTTGCATACTGTTCAATCTAAGCTATCTTTCCAATGACGAATTATGATGGCATTCATCTGCGAACACGATTTCCCGATCTTGCCCTTTCACCGGCCATCCATTTTATCTATCTGCTTTGACGCATTCATGCTTCCGAAATTTAGGATCAAGATTTTCTCGAAATTTTTGGGCTCTTTCGAGCGAATGTGAGTTTGATCAGACGTACAGGGGCGACCAGGATCAGACAGTCATAAAATCCTTCGAAACATGATCTCGGTCTGATGCAACTGGCAGCATAGGGTTTTGCGAAGAGGCATGCAAAGGGTTTTGTAACAAACCGTGAGTGTATACAATCGTCGAAAGTGGAACTGGACAAGGTTATATGCTGCCGATCAAATCTGGCGCTCGCTACTAGGAAGGCCAAAAACAAGAACAGCACTTTGTGTGACTCGAATTGAGCCTATTGACCGTTCCACAGCATTCCTGTGACTCACGAGCAGGGTCAACTTACTCGTCGTTCTTACTAGTAACTACGGACGGGTCGTACTTGGTTCAGTTTGTAGGAGGGGTTACGGGGTCGTACCCGTTTCATCGCTTGAAATTACATGCGAGTTTGAGGTGAAACTGAAGTTTTTATGGGTGGCTAGGCTGGGTGAGTTGAGGGGACGCAGGAAAAAACTTGCCGTTTCAGCACGCGCATACCCCTCCTAGAAAATGAAGTAGTGGGAATATAGGTAAATCTTCTCTATATATAAAGCAGAAGTATGGTGTGTTTGTGTGTCTGTCTGTTTGTAACCGCTAGGCTCGCATGCTATATCCAAGAAAACAGGGTATGGTCCCGGATAGGTAGTGAGTTACCTCTAGAGCGAAAGGGTACGGTAGTAGGCGAAGCTCGGTTAGGAGGGCGGGGCTTACGCGAAATCTCCGTAAAAAATATAGTTTTTTCTGCAGAGGCCTCGAATTGCTAAGCGGACCACAATATTGATTGAGTAGTGTCGTAGGAGTTGGATTTTAGATGGGTCACAGGTTATCGATCGTTATTGATCAAAAATATTGGTTTTTGCGCAGAGTATTCGAATAGAATTGGAAATCGCTCTATTGATCGGGGCCTGTACTGATATTGGAAATTTTATCGGTTCACATGCTATCGATCGATATCGACTGAAAATATCGATTTTTGTCTCGGAGGCCCAGATCACACCATAGATTGATGGGGTCGTAACAATCAAAACTCCGTTGACTCACGCGGTATCAATCGAGGTCAATCATAAATATCAGCATTTATCATGTAGGCTCGGAAAGGCCTCTAGGAAGCTAATTATGAGGCCTCGTGGCAAACTCCTCCCACTCTGGTAGTTTCACACCTCCCTCCCCCCGTCACCCTTGAACTTCCCTCCTTTTCTAACCTGCCACTTTTTTCTCGGTTTCTGGGACTTCTCTGAACTGACTTATGACGGGTTTGAAATAAGCGCTACCCGCTTAGGGACAAGCTCCGCTACTGTGGGCGGGCTTCCACTAAGGTTCAGGTATGTCTAGAAAACCCTAGATATTGTTCTTCTGTCTAGGAAACCCTAGATATTGTTCTTTTTAATCGATTTTACTACAGCTGAATAGATTTTCTCATGCCAGAGTTAGAGTTTTTCTTACTAAGAAACACTCCTGCAGGGAACGCTCCACCCATAAAGGGCGGGTAACCCTGATTTGATTTCTCTCTCACTGCACACCTTGACCCATTTTTTCGGTCTTTTGACTGCACCTATACCCATACCCGAGACTTCTGCCGCCGACAGCTCCTAATGCGACGCATGCCCCACCCACTGTGGGCGGGGTTTCCCATGGTCCATGTCTGTGTCGTTTAGCCTGACTCATTCTCTACCCATCCCAAACTTGACCTTGACTCTGAAGGTGGTTCCTTAGATAGTACCTAATTTTTTCAAACAGACACAGAAGGCTCAGCGCAGCGCAATCTTCTCTATACATAAAGCAGAAGTTTGTGTGTTGTCTGTTGCCGCATGGGGGAAGGGGGGAACTTTTACCCTTCACCAAACCCAAATCTCCCAAGTAACTCAAATAGCATTCCGCTGATTGAGAACTGCGAAACGTACGTTAACACTGCCACGAGAGTCCATCCTGTGCAGTCGTGTTTCGCGTGCGGGTATCGTGCGCAGCTACGGGGGGTACAACCCCCCCCCCTCTCGCTCGACGGCATTTTTGGAGGAGAAAGTGGGCGGGGTTTGGTGGGTCGAGTGGTCTTTCAGAATTATCAGAATTAAATACTATAGAGATGGTCGAGGTGTGGAAAAGGGGGTCGCATCAAATCACCTTGGGGGAGGGGAGTCGTAAAAAAATTTCAAAAAGTAACAACGATAGGGTTGACCCTGCTCACGAGTTATCATGCGCAGCTCAAACAGAGATTCATTACCGCTTCCAACGAACGATATTAAGGTCACTATCGGCTACCTTGTCATTCTACTCATCGGCTTACTCGGCAACATACTAGCTATATCCGTTCTACGAAAGCATCCACTAATGAAGACACATAGCAGGTATAATTCAAACCTCGCAAATTTTATTTTCTTCACAAAACTATCACATGTACCCTTTAAAGGTAATAGTAACAGCCAGCCTACTCCTTTTTTCTGCTCAACGGAAGTGAATCTATTGGTTTTTGACTTGTTTTTGATTTTCAACTGTTTTCTGGCCCGTGATTGAAATGCGAATGCTACCACAAGGATGCTGTGTGATGAACAAAAACACCTGGTGGAACTCGAACGTGCATACTTCAATTTCCACACAAGTCTGCCATCACTGCCAGGGCACCATTCATTTTTAACTCAGCTTTTGATGGCTACTTATCATAGCTTATCAGCGCTCACACGCAGTACGCGATGAGCCGATTAGCTGACATCGGCACTGAACTGCAAAGTTGAAACCTCTAGCAGCTACCAATTTTGACTTGTTTTTCCCTGTTACGTGCTGTTTTTGCAAGTATAGATCTTCGCACACTTGTCCAGGCGAGATGCTGGTTCAAGTCCTACCTGTGACGAAGACTTTTTTTTCATACTTTTTTCATTTCATTTCCTTGTGATAATTAATCTCTCGGTTAGATTTATAGCCCTACAGAGAGTACCAACGTTCCCAGGCTCCCGAGCATGTCCTCACTCCGAGCGGGAGTGGTGTAGTGGCAAGTGGCACGCTCACAACGCGAGCGGTCTGGGGATCAAATCCTGGGTAGTGAGTCGCCCGCGCCAACCAAGCCTTCCATCCCTCCGAGGTCTGGTAATTGGTACCAGGCTTGTCTGGGAGTATAGAAACATTGACTTGTGCATCGGCTGGCCCCCGTAAGTCATTGTATAGACCACATCTCATTCGAACGCCACTACGAATGTACAAATGGAAATACAGTCGAAATCTCGGAGTGTGATTGGGCGTGTCACCGGAAATGACGTGGCAGCCACCGCACTTGATAGAAGTTGTGCGGATAAGCTGCTTCCAACACGCTTTGCGGACATTTGGCGGAGTATCTTATCCTCACAACATCTATCAAGTGCGGTGACTGCCACATCATTTCCGGTGACACGCCCAATCAGACTTCAAGATATCGACTGTAGAATGCGTGCCGCATCCGGAAAAGAGACTGATCACCGGCAACGCTTTATCCTTTTACCCTTCATGTCACCACTCCACTGAGGTCACTTAGAGGCAGTGAGCGCGATAAAATGGTCCGCCAGCAGTGGAAGTGCGGAAGGGGTAGGGGGAACTCCATTATGATTTCCAATACGGTAGGGGGCACTCCATTATGATTTCCAATACTAAAGATAAGAATAAGAGCGCTAATAACACGTAATCGATTCACTGAAATATGCTCCAAGTACCGTTGTAGTACTCCTATAGTACTCCTAAGACACTTTCATATTTCGGCCTGCAACGGTCCAAAGAAACGAGCATGTAATGGACATCCTTGCCTAGGCCTAGCTCGAAGTGGATGACCGTGCGAAAAACTGAGTAGGATGGCAGCATGTTGCGATGTAGGACTTTCCTTATCGAAAAACCCTTCAGATTAGTCGCTTACGTACTATCTTATTCTTTGTTAAAAAGCTTAAACGAGCTCAAATGAGTGCTCTCTAGTAGCGAGGACACTATAAAGAGGAGTGCCCTTCTAATCACTTCATTTTCACCCGATCAGGGAAGTATTATATTTGCCACTGGAAGGGGCAACCAGGTTGACGGACCAGCGACGTATGGATATTTCACATTTAGCGACATAGGCGCAATTCAAAACTGCCCATCTATAACCCCGAGCCTGACCCTTGACGTTTGTGATTCCGTATTCAAAATATTTTCAAATTTCGTTCAAATTTAATTTCCGAGCCGGTACCCTCCTCAGATTAAAGTGGAGGCCCTTTAGGCTTGTAGTTCATGTGCAGGAATTCGAAATCACTGGTCTTCCTCTTCACCCTGCACGGGCATTTCGCACCATACGGCCATAGCTTTTAATCATGTCATGTCATGCTTTCTATCGGCGTGCTCCCACCTAAACGGCCGATTCTACCCCTTAAAATGGTCTGTAAAGCTAAACGAAAATTTGGTGCCAGTTGGCGGAATTTTTGCTAGTCTGCTCTATGTGGAAGTGTGGTAGACATTATACCACACGGTCGTCAACGGTTTGAAGCAGGAATAGCAGTAGATCGCAATATTTAACACTTGACACCGTGTACGCATGTAACCCGCCGTTCCGTTCAAGACGTGATTATTTTTGGGGATGCGCACTGTAGTGCGACATGTTCCCTATGCCTGCGCTGTGAAGCTTAGCTTACAGTCCACACCAATTTATAAGTTTATTCTTATTGCCAACATATATTTTTTTCAGCATCTATATAATGAATCTTGCTATGGCCGATCTTATCACTCTATGCGTTGGTTTACCATTTGAAGTGATCATGAACTGGAGTCAATATCCGTGGCCTTTTCCGGACGTATTTTGTAATCTCAAAGCACTTATCGCTGAAACCACCAAGTAAACTGATTACAGGTAACTCCGTCGTATAGATATTTTTGACTCTTGCATTTTCAGCTACGTCTCGATTATAACAATTCTACTGTTTTCGATAGAGCGATATATAGCCGTTTGTCATCCATTCCTTTTCGTGAAAATCAAACCGCTACAACAAAACGTAAGTTCAACGGGTTTTGAGAGGTACTCGGAAAGCAGATGTCTTTTGTCGCGTGTTTGTATGTGGCAACAATCAGCGACAAGTAGCTGTGATTCAAGGCAAATTCTAAGATAACTTGACTGGAAAAGTCCCCTCCATAAGTGATATGGGTTGGTCCATGTGCGCGAGCTCCCCACTGAGAATGTGTGAAAAGGGCGTTATAGTCGTGCTTTCTTCGCGCTCCCCCACCAGAGCCAGCGTGTCGAGGACGTGGTCGCAGAAGTACGAATCCGGCTGACATCGCGTCTTTGGGCACGACCCCCCCCCTAAAACAGAGATCACAACAGCTGAGTGCATCGATCAACGGCCGATTCATTTATTTTATTTATTTATTTTTTATTTATTATTTATGCGTTCAATGACGCGCCATATTCAAGCATTTTGGCTGTACGCAAAATCCTTATGTCGAGACTCGACAGAAAATAGAGAAAGAAAAAGAAAAGAAAAACAATGGAATGGGCGGGAAATTGACTAAAATAAAGTGCCTTAAAACCCGTGATTAGTTAACACATATGAAAAAATTTAGTGAATACTAAAAAAGCACGAACCCGAGAAAGGCGTTCAGACAAGCAGCTTCCTCAAGAACATGAGTAAAAGAGTAGGAATGATACTGTGAAGACTGAAACTCCACCCTAACGATGAAGTCAAAGAGGCTATGAAGACTCTGGTTCTCAGATATATGGGATAAACGCTGCGGTGTGAGCCAGCACCAGATTTACCGGCAGCCGCTGTGCGATTGGTTGCGGGGTCGGATTCACCGAAATCCCAAAAAACGTCCAAATCTACACTCTCGATGAAAAGGTTCCATTGCTCTATTTCCCAACCTTTTGAACAGCACGCGGTAGTATTAGATAGAGCTAGATTTGGTACTATCAGGCAGTGCTGGAGTTGCTATGGAAGCTTTTCATTCGAAGAGATATAGTCGCTCAAATTCCGTCAAGGCACCGTCCAAGACGCTGAAAATTTCTTGCAAATTTCTACCACTTAAAAAGCAATATCTCTCTAATTTCGCAAGAACTCGAAGAAGGAGACAGTTTTGGAAAGCGGAAGGTTCGCGCTTCCTAACAGTATGTTTAGCTTCCTTCTATATTTTCTAGCTGAGCAGATATTTACGTCGAGATCTATCGAGGATGATTCCCGGCCGCTCAAAAATCCGCTCCCTTCTTCACCGTTGCGACTGTAAGTCGTTGGCAACGCTCGAAATGTGTCGAGAATACACTCTTTTAATGTAATCGATAAGAATAGAGGCAATCGCCGACATCCGATTCTGTCTGGGTATGGCCACGCATCCGACCTCCACTCGAAGTTGCAGAATCGATTAAAGGTATTATATGATCAATACCAGTTGACAGAAGCTGCATTGTAGTAAACACATTTCGTAGCTCTGTAGCATGAGGAACAGGTTCATGTGCCCAGCCTTTCCTTCACGGTTGTCGTTTTTGCGACAGCGTCCTTAACAACAGCGTCATTCTCAACGAGTTATCAAGTGGGATGGAGCGGGCGGTAGATAGAGGATGTGCCCTTGCAGCGCGTGTGCATATGTGGCCGCGTTTTTTGCGGCGATGCACATTCATTCTATGTACTGCTTTCAGATACGTCCCCATAAAGATAGAGAAATGGAGCGACTGAACCTGTAAAAAAATGTTTCATATCATGTTTTTTCACATATCTACTGCGTAACACCCTCTTACTTCTACCTGCACCACGATGCCTTTGATGTCACTGACCCCCACGAGTACAGAGCTAGGTAACTGGAGCTAGGTAACTGAAGCTAGTAACTGGAGCTAGGTTAGTGAAACTCGTCCAGCGTCTGTCCCGTCTTTGTCCCAAGGTGGAATGCGGCCGAAATAGAGGAGGTGTTTATGCGAGGCGTATTCGGGGCTTTCTCTTACATTCTTATTCTTTTCCGCACCACTCGCCACCTCTAGCTTCATTAGAGAATGCTCTTCCACGCCGATTTTATCCCGTAGCTTGCCTTTGAAGGCATGCCCCAGGTTCACATTGGAGTAGCTCTTGCACATGAATACGAATCTGTTGGTGTTAAATGGGCCCGTTGTGGAGGAAAAAGGAAAAAAATCCGTAGAAAACGTTCAGGTTAAGGGCTCGCTCATCTTTCCAGCCGGCTGTGCTAAGGCAATGAGAGACTGAGCGCGGAGAGGAGGGTGTGAGGCGAAGGAGCGCTACAGATGAGAGAGTGCCAGACAACAGCCTGATAAGAGAAAAATCTGCAACTTTAGCAGCTTTAGCACTTTGCAAGGCCTAAGCGCTCTTATCGGTTGGTTTCCGCTAACGAGAACGCCGCATTTGTAAATGATCTTCAGAGATATCTACAGTACTCGCCGTTTGAAATCGAAAAATCACGCGAATAACGCGAATCCTCGTTAATTTCGTGAATTCGTTATAACTCGGTTCAAAATTGAGCTTTCGAGAATCCGACGATATCGTTGAATTCGGCTCGTCGGACGCTACAAGAATGTGCTTTGATACTTTGGAAAAGCTTCATATAGGATTGCGCCATGCACTCGATTTTCATCTCAAAAAGTAGTTGCTCGCATGTGATGTGTATATAATCCCGCTTATGTGGGCTGAACGCTACACACAGGGAAGGGCCTCAAAACTTACCCTAGAATGCGCCACGTACTCAATCTCATCCACTACATTGTGAGATTAGATAAATTTCATTTTCCAAATTCATAGATCTTTATTTCGTTTTTAAGCGCTTACTGGCTTTACGTGCTTCCTCTGCTCTCATTATCCAATCCTCTGTATATCAAGTGGAATCTTTGAACAGTTCTCAGCAGGCATAGTGGGCCTATTATATGACATTTTCCAATTTTAAAGGAGATGATTCGCAGGAAGCTGTGAAGATAGCGAACAATTTCCTTCACTGTCGTAGACTAAGGTCACTTGTCTGTAAGGTTTATATGGAACTTGGTCGCAGGAGAGCGTTTTCTTCCGTGGTGTGACTCCCAAACATCACCCCTTGTCATGCCTTTGCCCCCTATTACGTGACAAGTCCATTTTTAGAGGAATGTTTTGTAGAAAGCCATAAAGAAAGCGAAGAATTTCCTTCACTGTCGTAGACTATGGTCACTTGTCCTGTAGGAATTATGTGGAAAACTCGGTCGCAAGTGAGCCTTCCTTCCGCAGTCGTGGCCCCAAACATACCTCCTCGTCATGCCCTTGTGGGATGTTCTAGATTTTTTGCATATCCAGATGAACTCGCAGACCTGAAATGTGACCCGTTAGCTTCCACGTGAAAAATGCTGTCGCTTGAAATGCATTACTTCTCCCAGTTGAAATTTTGATTTTTCACCGTTTTCAGCCTTCCCCTATTGCCGGATTGGGCACTACCCCACGATTACTGCCCCAAAATTTCGAAGTTTCATTTTTCGTCGAAACTTTGTCTATTGGGATGATTCGATGCCCTGATTACGAATATGACATTCATTTTTGATGCTGGTGTCATTTGGCGCCGTTTGGCGCCGTTTGGCGCCAATTTGGCGCCACGGTTGTTTTCACCAAACATGCTGAAACTTCGTCATTCTGGGTTATTTGGGGTCCTGATTAGGAAAACGACACCCTTTTTTGGCGCTGGCGCCATTTGGCGTTAATTTGCGCTCTGGCTGTTTCCACCAAATCCGCTGAAAACGTGTGTATGGGGGTTATTTGGGGTCCTGATTACGAATATAACATCCAGTCTGGAAGCCGGCGTCATTTGGTGTCACAAACAACACTTCACAGGCAGAGCGTACTCTTAGGCACCTTTCTCACAGCGCCGACTGTCACACCGTGGAAAAGGTCATCGAATCGGAGGCGATCCCACGACAGGAAGGAGCCAGACCGTGGAAAACTGTGAGCTAAGCCAGAAGCATATTTCACTTTTCACTGGAGATGCCTGTAGGCGTTGAGCAGAGCAGCAATGACTGCAAGCTCTCCAACTGTCACTGAGGATGGTAGTACCGGGTTCGATGTACTACTTCATGATGAGCCGCAACAGAGTTGAAACGTCTTTTCTTCGGACCATCCGAAGGAGTCCACTTCCTCTTTCGCCTCCAACAGCCACTTGTGCCTGCGTACCAACGTCGGCGGTTGCTGCGTTTGATAACCAGTGTTTCGTTAATGTCCATCTCGCACCCGAACCTTCCGAAGATCGGCGGGTTCCTCCTGAAGTGCACCACACATACGTCGCGGAAGAACCGCTCCCACTGAATTGAACTGGTGTGACCGACGTTGAGCTCGTGTTCCTTGTCCTTCACCTTGCCCATGTCGCGCAGCCAAAAATAGGGCAGTGCGAACACCGTGGACTCAGGAAAGTAACAGTTCTCGAGAAAGGAATCCTTTCGGGCATAAACTTGGATCCTGGTCTCGTTCGACGGTCGAGTGCGGCACGCTCGACGATTGCAAATCCAGCCGTTGTGCCGTTCGTCGTTGATCAAGCTCATGGATCGTTGACATGAAGGTCATAGTGGCACAGACATCAACCCCATGGATCGCAACCAGTAAGTGCTCGTACACGCCCTTCAAGGCTAAGCCCAGTAGCTCTCATTGACGATTGTGTCGCTAAAGAGTAGCAAGAGCCATTCTCCGTTGTCGAAAACTTGAAAAATGCTTCTCGCTCCTTCCTGTCGTGGGAAAGCCTCCAATTCGATGACCTTTTCCACGGTCTGACAGTCGGCGCTCTGAGAAAGGTGCCAAAGAGTACGCTCTGACTGTGAAGTATTGTTTGTGACACCACATGGCGCCGGCGTCAAGACTGGATGCTATATTCGTGTTCAGGACCCCAAACAACCCCCATACACAACCCCCAGAGCGCCAAATGGCGCCGGCGCCAAAAACGGGTGTTGTTTTCGTAATCAGGACCCCAAATGACCAAAGTTTCAGCAGATTTGGTGAAAACAACCGTGGCGCCAAATTGGCGCCAAACGGCGCCAAATGACACCAGCATCAAAAATGAATGTCATATTCGTAATCAGGGCATAGAATCACCCCAATAGACAAAGTTTCGACGAAAAATGAAACTTCGAAATTTTGGGGCACTAATCGTGGGGTAGTGCCCGATCCGGCAATAGGGGAAGGCTGAAAACGGTGAAAACCAAAGTTTCAACTGGGGGAAGTAATGCATTTCAAGCGACAGCATTTTTCACGTGGAAGCTAACGGGGCACATTTCAAGTCTGCGAGTTCATCTGGAATGCAAAAAATCTGAACATTCCACAAGGGCATGACGAGAATTTATGTTTGAGGCCACACCACGGAAGGAGCGCTCACTTGCGACCGAGTTTTCCACACAATTCTTACAGACAAGTGACCATAGTCTACGACAGTAAAGGAAATTCTTCGCTTCCCTACAGCTTTCTACAAAACATTCCTCTAAAAATGGGACTTGTCATGTAATAGGGGGCAAAGGCATGACAAGCGCGGTGACGTTTTTAGTCACACTACGGAAGAGTACGCTCACTGCGACAAGCTTTCATATGAAACCTTAACAGACAAGTAACCGATAGTCTACGATAAAGAAGGAGATTGTCACTGTCTTCACAGCTGTCTGCAAAATCATCTTCCTTTTGAAAATGGAAAATGTCACATATAAGGCCCACTATGCCTGCCTGAGAACTGTTCCAAGATTCCACTTGATGTACAGAGGATTGAGAATGAAGCAGCAGGAACAGTCAAGCCAGTAAGCGCTTAAAACGAAAATAAGATCTAAGAATTTGGAAAATAACATTCATCTATCTCACAATGTAATGATGAATAGAGACATGGCGCATTCTGGGTTAATTTTGAAACCTCTCTGTGTGTAGGGGTCAGCTCGCATAAGCGGGATATTATACACATCACATGCGAGCAATAAATACTTTTTGAGATGAAATCGAGGCATGGCGCAATCCTATATGCACTTTCCAAAGTATCAAAACATATTCTTATAGTGTCCGACGAGCTGAATCAAAGATATCTTCCGATTCTCGAAAGCTCAATTTAGAATCGAGTTATAACGAATTTACGAAATAACGAGGATTCGCGTTATTCGCTTGAATTTTCGATTTCAAACGACGTTTACGTTACTACAGACCCGAGGGTAGCGTTCACATGATCCCTGCCTGGGTTTGCTTTAAGTGCGCCTTCACGCAAACACATTGCTGCTTCATCGAAATTTTCAACTTTCGTAGGAATGCTCAATTGGTCAGTCCGGCCATTTGTAATGAGGTGTAGTCCGCTGTACTCGCCTTGCGACGCTGAGCTCAAATCCGTTCTCGGTATCTGCGGAACGATTCTCTGAAAGTTACGAGGGATTTTTCTCACTGTATCTTTCTCACTATAGCGCCCTTTACATCCTCGCATCCCGCTTGCCTCGCCCAGGTTGAGCCGGTGAGGAGTTCTGCCTGTGGGACTGGCGGTGCAGTGGATAGCAAGTTTGCTTCATATTGGTGAGGTCAGATGTTCAAATCCTTGTGCATGAAAGACTTTTGCATTTTTTCAAGGCTCCTCATACAAACCCAAAATGTGTTTATATTTGGATATTTTGTCGATTTGCGTCCCCCTTTCACATCTGGAGAGGGCAGACTTTGGAATCTCCTTCTCGTGCTCATTTTCTTCAGTTCTTCGTTAGGATGAACTTTGACATACAGAAGACTCTCAAAATTAACAATATTTCGAAAAGTTATTCCAGCTATACGAGCAAATATGATAGTCCCTCACAAAATGATCAAAACAAAATAGATGTAAAAGGGAGAAGCAAATCAACAAAATAATCAAATATAAACACATTTTGGGTTCGTTTGAGGAGCCCTGAAAAAATGCAAAAATCTTCAGTGCTCAAGGATTTGAACATCTGACCTCACCAATATGAAGCAAACGCGCTTCCCACCACCACCAGGCCCACGAACAGGCTACTCACCGGCTCAACTTGAGCGAGGCAAGCGGGATGTGAGGATGTAGAGGGCGCCGTAGTGAGAAAGCCACGGTGAGAAGAATCCCGTCTCTCCTATCAGAGAATCGTTCCGCAGATATCGAGAACGGATTTGAGCTCAGCGTCGCAAGACGAGTATAGCGGACTACACCTTATTACAAATGGCCGGACTGACCAATTGAGCATTCCTCGTTAGCAGGACCACCGTACCTTCTTCGCCAAAAAAAAACACCAAAATGTGTAGTCATTGAATATTGTTTTAAAGACTGGCCATTCTGTCAAATTTAGGTGCACAAAGTGCTATGCGCTGCATGGGTTGTGTCAATAATATCTGCTTCACCGTTTGGATTCTACCACAGGGCCGACTATATTCTGAAAGACTGGCCTGGAACAGAGAACAACGTTCCCGTACGAAGCTTTTTCTCATTGAGTTCCCAAATCCGGAGGTTTCCACTTGACAAGGTTATCTGTTGTTCCAGGTGTTGTCATCGAAGATGTGCATGGTGGCTGTTCTTTTCGATCGAAGTTCAAAACGAATGTACAAGGTAGGGAAATCTGCACTACTAGCCTCTAACTCGCAATTGAATTCACTAATAAATAAGTGTTTTAGTTCATTTTCCATCTTTCGGCGCTCTTGTTCTTTGTTATTCCACTTTCCATTATTTTTGTGCTACACATATTCATCGCTATCAATGTGAGCAAATTTCCCATCTATTATCAAAATAAATAGTTATTTATTTTGAAAAAATTAGGTCCGATCTTCTCGCAAGGACATCAATCGTGCGGATGATCGTTGTGTCGACGACGGGAACTCTCGCCTGACTTTCATTCTAGGTAGATCATGCTCTACCGGTTTCAATTGCAAGCTGACCATTTCATGATGATGCCAATATTGAACCCACTCTTTCAGTGAGTATCATCTGCGCATTGTTCGTCTGCCACCTGCCTTTTCAAATTCAGCGACTGTCGTTCTTTTACTTGGAGAACGAGCAATCCGTTTCGACACTTAATCAGTACTTGTTTTTCATATCAGGTACACATACTAGCCTGCACTTTTTCAGAAACCATCTTTCTTCTGAGGTTCCGCCAATAAAATAGAAGATAAAATAGTGAAAGCGCTAGAACTAACATGTCTTAGCGATTTTTGACGCTCACATTAGGTCCGGAATGTGCAATTTGTCTTCTATATGAGTTCCTCTTTACTGTAAGCATACTAAGCCAGTCCATTCGGAGCCCTATACTTGTTGCCCAAGTTGTAAGGCTTTTGAAAAACAAAACAATGCTTACAAGGAATATCCTTCAGGTCGCCATGGCCGTTCTACATGAGATGTATACCACTCTATGCATTCTGACACGCTGATTTCGAATCTGCCTTCCAAATCTAAACGACTCTCCGAACGGAGTTATGAAGCGTAATAGCTCAGTGATAATGGTCCGGGCTGGCAGGTAAAAGCTCGTAGAATCGGGTCCTTTGCAAATTGGTTGTTTTGCTTTTGTCCGCAACACTTCTAGAGGCAAAAGCAAAGCAACCAATTTGCAAAGGATCCGATCCTACGAGCTTTTACCTGCCAGCCCGGACCATCACCACTGAGCTATTACGCTTCATAACTCCGTTCGGAGAGTCGTTTAGCAGATTTGGAAGGCAGATTCGAAATCAGCGTGTCAGAATGCATAGAGTGGTATACATCTCATGTAGAACGGCCATGGCGACCTGAAGGACATTCCTTGTTAGTAAATTGAGGGTGCAAACAGATTGAGCGGAAGTCGAAAGCTAGATTCTTCTCGGATCACTCGTAGTCATTTAGCATTTCTAGGACTTCGCTTGAAATTTGTGCTCATCCGTGATTCGGATTTTCCTGCAGTCCTTATTGGTCGTTCATTTCTGTTAGAAGTGTTTTGATTTTCTCAAATCGTGCTCAACTCATTACCACATTTTCTTTTTATAAGACGCGTTTTTTGAAACAGTTTCCGCACCGGCGGAAAACTTTTTTATAGTTTCGAATGCCCTGGAATTCCTCGAGTCTGGGAGTCAATATATGCGGCTGAGGTGGTGTGCGGCGATATCTCTGCCTACGTAGTATCGCTACCTATGATCCCCTGTAACACCGTCTTTTTGGTTCAGCGTGGCGTCGTAATCCGCATTTCCTCTCGCACGTCCTGGAATTATTTATCCCTGTTCTCCATTACCTTCTTCTTCTTATTCTTTAGCGTCTGTCCGGCTTGTAGGCGAGGTCCGCTTTTCTGATGTGTTGACGCCACGTCACCCGATTAAATACTTGGTCGGGGTGGATGTTAAACTCTTCAAGTCTTCTGCACTTAGTCGAGCTATCGCTGCTTCAGGCGTCCTCTAGGCTACTTTCCGGACACGTCGGATGAGACCGATCTTACGGAAACTGTCATCATTCGCGCGAAGAACATGACCACACCATCGAGGACGGGCTTCGCGCATTATATCAACAGTCGGAGCTACACCGAATCGCTCCTGGTGTCACCATTACGAATGCGGTCTAATAGTCAAGGAGCGATTCGGCGTAGCTCTGATTGTTGATCAAATTCCTGTTCTCCATCACCTCATTTTCTCAGAAAACCTTTTTACTTTATACCGGATACTTCAAAAACCGACCCACGCTTCTCACGCAAACCAAAGTAAGTTGCTTCTCATGCTTATTATCTTTTTTGGTGAGGTTCAATGGCGGTATGAGAAAGTGCTTCAACTTTTTTCCCCGGTTGTTTTATTTTGTTCAGTTTTTTTTTTCACTTGTTCATGTTTGCTGTCAGTCACCCATTGACTGCCCTGCTCTAAAATATCCTCCTGCTACTTGGGATGGTAAGAAAGTCCTGAGCCGATTTTTCGAAAGCTCCAAAACTTTCGCTTATTGAATCTGCTACGTGATAGACTACTGCTGTCAATCATACTTCGCAGTGGGTATATACAGCTAGGTTGCCTTCTTTAACTTAAATCGTGATGTCGATTCCGCAAGAGTGTTTTCGAGCGATCATCTTCTATGAATGGCGCTGCGGCACAGGAGCAGTGGGAACCGTCAACATTATCAGCATCGCATTGGGAAGAGACACCACTTCCATCATCAGTGCCAAGCTCTGGTTCGCAGGCTTCGAAGGAGGATTCACGGCTTTCGAAGACAAGACAAGGTTGCGAATCCCCCAAACGGTGGAAGACTCCACCGTTCCCGGCGCTGTCAGAGAGGTTTCGGAGGTTAGCACCCGCAGCCTTGTGAACTCGGGAGCACTCAGCCCACAGTCCTCGGTCCCCTTCACGCCCTCGCCACAGAAAAGTGCTGACTCAATGGATTCCTCACGTCTTGACCGATAGCTCGCGGTTCAGTCGGGTACCCGTTTGTCAGTTTCTCCTTCTTTGTCCGCATCGAAATGAGTTTTTGGAAGGCATGATTACGAGATATGAGAGTTGGGTCCTCTATGATTCTAACAAGCACAGTGCCGTGTGGTTGCCTCGAGGAGATGACCCGCCGACGCAAGCGAAATTGGACCTCCACCCCAAAAACTGTCTTCGTCGCTACCTCTGGGATTCGTGAAGAATGCTGTATTGTGAGATGCTCCCGCAAAGACATACCGCTACGGGCACCATTTACGCCAGTCAGCTCCAGAAACTAGCGGACGCTGTCCAAGAAAAACGACCGAGACGAACTTCTGTCCGCCTACTCTACGATGACGCGAGGCCCCACATAGCTAAAGAGACCCGTGCAAAATTGGAAGAGCTGATCTGGGACGCGATTGCCCACCCACCCTATTCCCCTGACATGCCCTCTCTGACACTTACTTCATTCCCTCAAGGCGTTCCTAGCGAGAAAAAAATTCACCAAAGTTGAAGACGTTGAAAGAGCGGCTAGCGATTTCTTTGATCTTAGTCTGCTCAATTCTGGGAAAAGGGGGTGGCTGACCTGCCCATTAGGTGGACTCTGTTGTGAGTAACTATGGTGATTATATTATTGAGTAGA